CCTTTATTTAGTAATGACGTAAGGAGTGACAGGATAATATTAATATAATATAATATTAATATTAAGTTATTAATAAAAATGTAATAGGTGGGTCTACCCATAAATTATAATACCTACCACTACTAGATACAAACATTAAAAAACTGGCATAATAATTGAAATAGTTAAGTTAAATATTTGTAGTAGGTGGGTAAATGGATTTATAATTAATTTGATTTCACTCCACTTAAATTTATAAGACTCGGCGCCACTGCATTAGTATTATATATTATTATATTTATTTATTTATTTATTACTATATATATATAATATAAAAATTATTTAATAAATTATTATAACTAATTTACGTATACTTTTTATTGGTATCTACTAAATATTATATTAAAATTAAATATATTATATAGTATTATATAATAATAGAATTTACAGTATATTTTTTTACTTTTTATTTACAAATAGTGAATATTAATGAAAATCAATAAGTTATTATCAAAATATTACGTTTTATACACCAGAAACCTATACATACTAATTACAGCTACCAGCCATATCATAAGCGTACGCTACTGTAGACGACAGCATTGCTATACGAGCGGTCATGAAGCCCTGGTACTTTAAAACCAAATACTATGCCGGAATCGTTTGAAGCACGAAAAATATCGTATAAAAAGTGACCTTGTAAAGTAGACCTCGTTTCCAGTCTACCAAAGCATTCGTTTTTGAGTCGCTAGTTAAAATAATTACATTTTCAAGGCCACTTTTTTTTACAAAAAAATCGATTCTAGTACAAGGATCCCAGAATCCGGTTGCCATCGCTGGAGCGTAGCATGTTTTAAGGAGTAATATTTAGGCATTTTATATCACATGAACATTTTGGCTGTGTCAATGTGTGAGTAGTAAATGAACATTCAGGGGCGGACTGGGTATTCGACAGGCCAGTCAGTGATTTCAATACTTCGGGCCTTTTTTTACGGAAAATTAATTTAACGTAATAAAATCAAATTTTTTTTTATCGAATAACTATTCAATTATGATGTTTGCTTATAAGTTATCACAGTAATTGTTGATTATTTATTAGTTATTACCTTACATAAATATGATAATATTAAAAGACTGGCTACAAATGTTTGTGATTTTACTGTAGCACGGCCTAGCCGACGAACAGAATACAAACTATCTGCTATGTAGACAGCAAATCAAGCTTTACAAGAACTACATCATACAATAAATATTTAATGCATATCTATAAATATTTTTGTCAGTATAATGATTATTCTTAAATAAATAATTGCAACAAATAAAAATAAAATATACAAGTACAATTCTGATAACAATATATTTATTTACACTAAATTTGAAACATAACTGAATATTCTTGCAAGTATAAAAATTACCCAATAAGCATCCTTTTCATTTCAGTGGAAGTGGCACATAATCGATCAATTATAATATCATGAGGTACAATCAAGCCACGTTCATGGTTCATAAACATGAATGCTTCTAATTTGTCGTTAGAAAAAGTTAACCTAAGTCTAGTTTTTATAATTTTAAGTATTGAAAAATTCCTTTCACAATTTACTTGAGTAAAAGCTAAACTTAATATAACCATATATACCGTATATAAATCATTGTAATTTGGTGTATGAGTCACTAATATGTATACATATAAGAACGCACATGAAATGCACGATTTACAACGATTTTTTTCGGATAATGCACATTTTAAATCATCTTCCATATCTGTATGGTTTTCATTTTCTTCTTCGAAAAATTCATCGTTACAATCTTGATACAGAATACTAGCATCTATATTTGCTATGGCCTCGTAATTTCGAGCAAATTCTATCAACTGACGTTGAATATCTATAACATCGACATTGGCCATGGATGCGATTTTGGACAATGATTCTTCTGGAAACATGAATCCGGGATTTTTTAATTGTGAAAATGTTCTTGGATCAAAAAAATGCAGCATCTTGAATTACATCCTCATTGATCATATACCTGAACAAGCAAAACAAGTATGTTACTAAAAAATATTGCTATATCTATAACAATAAGAAATTAACAAAACTAATATTTTCAAAATATAATTATACTAAAACATACCTATTGCTTAATTTAGCAAGTGCGTTGTTATAAACAACTTTATAAACTTCAACTTCAAACAATTACTTTGACAACAGTTCTACTAAGTAGCAGGCTGCTAATCAAAAATAATAACAACTGCTATTAGCACTTTGTGCTGTGATAATAGTATAGTACTTTAGTATTGCAGTGTGTTCAAATCACTGCTCTTTTACGTACTATTAGTTGATACTGTTTGCTGCTATTTCATGAATCACTGTGAAAAGTAGCAGTGACTGCTACTCATTATCATCACTAATTTGAACTATTATTAATTATCAATATGAAAATGTGATTATACAAATTGCGGATGGTTCTTCTAAATTTCTATAGTTTGACCGACCTTCGATGTGGAGTAGGCCTATATAGGGGACGACCCATTTTAAAAAAGACACGCCGTGCATGTAATACCTCTATTGTGTGCTGTCAGTTCAACAGTACTAAGGTTGGAAAGTATGATGGGATGTTTCAAATAATAACTCAAATTAAGTTAAACACTATTTATTGTGAAATATTCTAAGTCCAAAACATTAATTTTTTTTTTTTTTTTGGTCTACCTTATATATCCCGTTCTTGTATAAGAGACTGTGGTCCTTTTAAGAGTGCAATACGCTTGATCCAAATATGGTTTGAGTTAGGTATGTTTTACGTAAATGTTTATTTTATAATTAATGCCTTTTTTTGTGAACTTTTCTTAGTTTGTTTTCCTATCTTTGCCAATATAATAATTAGCTAACGATGTGCGCTTTATATTTTAGTTATTATCAACTAATTATTTCTATGCGTCCAACCCTGGACTACCCATTATATAACAGTGTGTTCAACGATAAAGGTGACACGAAATATTTCGAACGCATGACCTTGTATGCAATTCGGATTTTTTGTAATGCATAAAGGATATAAAAAGGTAAAAATATAACACATTTTACAATTAACAAAATCATGCAAATCCTTTATATATTTCGACTTAAATAATAGCATTGATAAAATAATAGACTATTGTATAATCAATGATACTAGGTATTCAACACTGGCTCTTCATATTTCAAACTTGTAAAATGTGTAAATTTTAACTTAGACATCGGAGAAAATGTTCTGGTGAGGAGAGGGGGGATTACAACCCCCCCCCCCCCCCCGCGTTTGCCACTGATGTACAGTGACGCAACTATACACTTGAGGCCCTAAAGTCAAATATAAAATGGTGCCCACAAACTAAAAATTTAAATGATCTTAAAAAATCCAAGGAACACCGCTTTCACCACTCCCATAAGATAATCAAAACCAATATTTTAATTCATAATCGACAGCCGACTTCATTCGAGTTTTGACATCGGACGACAAGTCCTGTGACATGTGATTTGTAATAAACAAGTCATAATTACAATAAATTTAAATAAAAAATCTTAACTTTTGTTACTGAACGGGGCACATTATATTTTAAAATAAAAAAACCTTAAAAAACCTTTAAAGATTACTCAAATGAGGTTTTACAGCATCATACATTAATTTGAGACATGTTTTAAAAACTTCTTAATTTTGCACGAAATTGGGAAGATTAAATAAATGCTATACGCGGCTACACTGGTACAGTTTTCCCGATTTTGATAAAAATGAGTAGAGCCTAGATTTATATGCATTTATATGCATGTTTGTACTAAGTGTATGCACGTCTATGGAGGTTTGAAATGTCCACGATTCATATTACACCGAATTTAAACACCAAATTTTATATCGTATATTTCGAGGGTTATTGCATATTTGTTCATAAATGCATATAACATGCATATTTAATGGTTTTTTAATAAATCAACTATTTTAATTTACAGCAATCTCCTCGAATAGAGCACGAATTGACATGATAAGTATTAAGTTTCAAAAATATTATTTTAAAATATTTGTTTTTTTTTTAAGTGTTCTATTAGTTTTTTGGCAGTAGGTAACTTCAAATGATTTAAAATATTTATAAAATCTAAAATATTTATTTTTAGTTCTTTTTTTTTATTCTCATTTTTTAGTTTCCTAAAAGTTTAAGATTGATTTAAATGATTTGAAATATAAATCAGTGGATATTATAATTTCTTTTTTAAATAAAATAATTAGAATTTTATTTGGTATAAAAGTGTGGTTCTCAAAAAAAGAAATCACATTTTATAAAGTGTAACAAAATGCATATAATTGCATATTTAGCCACTTTTTCTTTGCATATTTGCATCATATTCGACACTTTTCAAATGCATATAAATCCGGGCTCTAACAATGAGATATCACCATTCTCCAAATTGTAGAGATAGTTGGATGAAGATCGAATTTTGTCTCAGAAAAGACATAACATTAATCCAGATTTAAATATTATTACCGATAGAGTTGTTGACGAATTGGTAAATAAAAGAAGGAAGCCAGAGTTTATCATATAGTTTATAATTAATGAAATTATATTTTTCAATAAGGAGATAGTAAAACAGATAAACATTTAATTTTGACCATTGTATATTGACTTATAAAAAAATGTTTGATGACAACACCTCCTCCCAAAAAAAAATTGTAAATATGACACTGAATATGACCAATATAAAAAGAAGTATGAGTACAAGTCGTAATCATTATACTGTTCGAGCGGATTGAAACGATCAAGATAGGTTCTTGGCTTCGGTAGATTTATAACATTTTCTGCTACATATTCTTCATCAAAACTGTCAGATAATGTTGAATACAATGACATTTTGATTATATTTAATTATATTATAATTTGTTTTATGGACAAAACCAATATTAAAAAAAAAAAAAAATAATAATAATAATAATAATAATATAAAGTATAACAATAAAATGATTACTAAAAAAAATAAGTATAATAGTATAAATATTATTGTTAGTGGTTACAAGTATAAATTATAATAAGATAAGATAGAATATTATCAGAAGTTATCAAGTCAGTAAAGTTGTATAACTCTGTTTATTGTTTATCGAACCAAAAACGGGACAACAATAAATCGGTTCGATAACACCATATTTATCGGATCGATAAAACTTACAGATCTTTAGTGTAACTGATAAAAATTTTATCGATTCGATTCCTTACTTATTGGTTCTATAATTAGTTATTGATCATTTGTGCCTAACCTGGTTTATATAGCTCATAGTATAATATAGGAGTGTGTATTATTAAAGTGTATTACATAATAATTACAAATAATTAATTACAATAAGTACATATCGTTGAATTTTCAAACGAAACGATATGTGAAATATAAAGCGATATATATTTAAACGTTTACAGGATATTAAATATATACATTCATAGGAGATTATTTTGTATTATCTCCCTAATGCGGCAGACTTATCGTCATACAATATTACATACAGTACATACAGTATGTACTATAAATACATTGGAAAAAAGTCAAATTTGACAAAACAAAAAGTTTTATTATAAATTATATTAGAAATAAAAAATAACCACTCGGTCATGGGCTGGCGTTTCTAAAAGCACAAATGCAAAGTATAAATCGAGTGAGAACTATAAATGAGACGATGAATACCTACCCATACCGCACGATGTAATATTACGATTATCATCGTACAAGTATACTAGTATACTAGTAGACGATACATAAAGATTTTCCGTTCGAGTATATTTTTAAAAACGAACGTCTTGGAACTGGACCGGGATCAGTGCGGATCATTTACCCGTAGGCGAATCGAATTACAACTTCGTGCTGACCAACGCCAGACAGAACCAGGACAAGATTAAAGCGAGGACTGGTCGTAGTCTAGAGACTCTATCTAGTATCAACGTCACAAGGACCGAAACGATTTTAAAACGTCCCATCAAAGGGGTAGATAACCAACGGGTTTTCAATCATCAGGCCTCGGACGAAGCTATGGTATTGTTTTGATGAGCGACGAAACAAAATATGGGCACAAAGCGTATTAAAAAACTGTATATGAAAATGGTAAAAAAAAAAAATTATATATATATATATATATATGTATAAACGTAATATGTAGGTGACGAATTCGAGTGGGGCCAAAGAACGTGGACGGCGTCTCGCGGGCACCGACCGACGTATTACGTGGCCGTGGACTTGCGAATGTCTTCGGACAGACAGTACTGTACGTTGATGATGTCGGTCACGTCGTCCTCGTTGCCCATGCTGGTCTTGACGCAGAACAGTATCGACCCGAGCACGGTGGTGATGATCAGGAAGATCTTGATGCCGGAGAATATGCTGAATATCTTGACCGGGTACACGTTGTACCGGGTGGACTTTTTCTTGACGATGTACTCGAACGAGTCGCCGATGGTGACCACGACGCCGTCGCCGGAGTGCACGTGGTCACCGGTCCGCGGCACCAGTGTGGACGGATCGCACGCGATCTGGTGCTGCGTGTGCTTGGTCACGTTGCACGCGCCCGACGCGTTCTGGAACCGGATGGCCACGTCGGCGATCTCGTAGCCGAGGTCCAGTCCGCGACCACCGATGACCACGCGGTTTTGGACGGTCTCAAAGTCGATGAACTCCGGGTCGGCGTACAACAGGTATCCGGGCGAGTCGGACTGCGGTGACAGGTCGATCACCCGACCCGCGAACTCCAGCCGGAAGAACAGGTTGGCCAGCACGGTGGACGTCTCGGAGGCGGACAGCACGTCCAGCTTGGGCGACCGGCACACCATGTACGTGTCGTTGCGAACCGCACAGCTAGAGCTGATGTGCCGTGACGACGTTTGCACGACCACGTGCAGCTCGGCGCTCTCCACGCACGCGAACCGGGTGCCGCGCACCGGCACCGTGGTGCCGCCGGACGCGATTCCCTTGAACTGCTGACCCTTGTCGATGGCCGGCTCGTCGTCCGTGTACGTGAACGCGTTGACCGCGCGCAGGCTGAGCACCTTGTCGAACAGCACGGACACCGGGCCCGTGGAAGACCGGCCGCCCGGCATCGGCGACGTCATGCAGAATATGTGCCGCGGGCCACGCGCTATCGTCTCGCACGACATGTTCTGCCGGCCCACGAACACGCGGACCGCGCGGCTGATGTCCAGCGACATACCCTCGATGCGCAGCTGCGTGCCGCCCCGGAGCGGGCCGCACGCCGGGCTCGATGTCGTCACCTCGGGGTAGACGAACCGGAACGTGCCGGGCGCGGTGGCCAGCCGCACCGTGTCGTACGACACCTCGACGACGCCGTCCATCGGGCTGGCCATCGCGGTCGGCGATGTTACGCACGTGATGGTCTCGTTGTCCACCGTTTTCGGGTACGCGCAGTTCCGGCCGTCCACCGTGACCGTGACCGTGCGGTGTTCCGCCAGCACGTTGTGGTTGCGCACCACGATCCGTACCGTCGTGCCGCCGTTCCACGACCCGGTCGCCGGCGTCACCGACTCGACGCCCATCGCGTGGCACCCGAGCACTCGCACCGGCACCGGGCCGGTGAGCACCGAGCTGTAGTCGCGGGACGAGCGCACCGACAGGTACTCGAACATTTCGTGGGTGCACGGGTTGTTCGACGAGCACCGGTCGTACCGGTTCACGTGGCCGTCCGGGCCGTCCCACAGGCACGTGGCGCAGTACTCGGCCACGTCCCTGCAGCCCAACGTGTCCCAGTAGAACGTCACGTAGTTGTCCGTCCGGTTGTCGAACCGCAGCAGCACGCTACGGTCGCCGAACGCCATGTAATAGAACCGGAAAGCCATGGCTCGGGTGTTCGAATGCTTCGTCGACCCGCACACGATCGCGTCCTTGGTCACCACAGCCGCGGTGGCCGCGCCCGTCTCCGGCTCGTAGCACGTCACGTTCGTCCGGTTCAGGAACGCCAGGAACCCGTACACGTCGTTGGACACGTTCACCGTGTACGCGTAGTCCATCGTGACCGTCGCCGAGTACACCGTCGGCTTGTGCACCGCGTACCGCGGACAGTTCTCGTCGTTGTACACCATCAGCCCATCGGCCTTCTGCGCCGGGTCCACGCACGTTTGCCGGCTCAGCGACCAGCTGCACGACGGCGTCTTGGTGCATTTCGTGCACTCCATGTATGCCGGGCACACGATGGTCGCGTTGTCCGTGGCCGCGCAGTCGCAGCTCGCCGCTCCGCACACCATCTGTCGGGCACACGACGCGGGGCCGTTACAATACGTGTATTGGTATGTACTGCGCGAACACCGGTTGGCGACTAGCAGTGCGCACCGATCTAACCGAGATGTACGTGCGCGTTCGGGGTATGTGTGTGTGTGACGCGCACGGGTAAAGGTCGATCCTAGAACCTTAAGGCCTCTTCCACACTGTCCGTTTCTTTAACGGCAACGGAAACGGATCGGATAAAAAAATAAAACGGAGAGATGAGAAACATAGTTGTTTATACCAGTTATTCACACTATCCGTTTCAATCAACGGACAAATAACCCACCGGTCCGTTGTAACGGACGACTCGACGGATTGCCTTGATATATTTCCGTTGTCGGAACGTTTTTAAAACGGACCGTTTATCAAGACTATATTAATAGATATAACATTTTACACTTTCCGATTCAGTGTCCGATAATTTTTATCCGGTACCCGTTTAAGTTTAGTAAAGTTTAGTTTTAATTTTCATCCGATCCGATTCCGTTGCCGTTAAAAATAACGGACTGTGTGAAAGAGGCGTTCTGTACCGAATTTTTTATCGAAAGTCGATCTTTTACTTATCGGCCACCGGTTTTATTTTACCATAATTTTTGCGTAAAATTAATTTTTAATACACCGCTTATATAGGTCGTGTGTACTAGAAAATTAGGTATAGGTAAAAAGTAGTATTGGCTTATGGCCTAATGATATAGTGCATTAACACTTCCATACAACATCGAAGTCTAATAGATATAGAAAACAAAAAAGAAATTCGTAATACAGAGTAAATAAAATTTAATTTTTGAAACTATTCGTTAACAAAATATGCTGATATCGAAAACAGTATTAATAAAGACACGATTTCACGTCAAAACGTTACGTACCACAGCGCATACGAATAAAAGTCTTGAAAAATGGTTCCAATTGCTTTCATTGTTTTTCGAACGTCTATTTTTATCCATGGTGTTGAGATTTATTTTACCTAATTACCTGAAAAGAAACAAAATGTTTAAATAATTTATAAATGTTCAGGAAATCGTTTTTGTTTTTGGTAATTTAACTAATAATCAACCATAAAAATTATTCTAAATACCTAATATACTGAAGAAACGAGGATTTGTATTGACTACAATTTAGTGCTTTTTATAAATTCAAAACTTTTTTGAAATCTGTGCGTGAAAAATAATAAAACAACCATTGTAATGGCAAATTTCAAGTACTAATAACTAGACTTTCTAAATCTTATAGTTAAAAATATAATATTGATATATGTTTACATCTATTAGCTCATAACTGGAATCTTATTGTAAGAGAAAACTCTGACATTGGTTTCTCATTTTCAAGATTTGTAAACTAAAATTTCGTATTTTTTAAAATAAAATAATTACTGATACGAGTTATTGAATATTACAAAACCTAATATCAAAATATCAACTATTCAGGAATATTGAAACCGTACGTTTTTTAAAAACTTAGTATAAAATAACTTAACATTTTATTTAAAAGGGTTGCGCTGCTATATATCGCTATAATTTTTCAATATTTTTTAAAAGTGAATAATGTCGATAAGCTCTAGTTACATGAAGTATTCATTTGACATATAGCTTATAATAAAGTACATAAAATTTGTATTTTTATATCACCCAGGCAGTGGCGTATTTATATACAATGTGCTTACAGCGGCAAATTTTAAGAATGTATTTTGTTATTAATTATCAGTGTTAGGAATAGATAATGCAAAATTTATCTAGATAAAGATGAAAGATAATATGTCTAAATTCATCTAGATAAAGATAAAAGATAATTTCATTTTATCTAGATAAAAAAAAGATATTTTCAATAAATATTATTTTTTGGTCAATATTTCATATTCTAATAATATCGATGAAGACTCAATTATAATCAGGGGCGTATTTAGGAATGTCTTATGGGGGGAGGGGGGCACAAACAAAAAGTTCAAAGTATACATAGTTCTAATTTTTCCATCTCAAAAAACTGTCATTATTCATAACCAAATAATCAAAATACAAGTGTTTGATAGAAATATAAACTTTTATTACACAAATTTACAATAAAACATATTTTTAAATAAAATTTTTGTAATTACAATAACTGAAGACGTCTGGGGTGTTTATTAACATATGCATCAACTACTTCTTCAGGATTTATAATTATTTCAGGGTGTATATTAAGGTGTATTCAGAGTGTATATAATGCTAATCCGTTTAATCGATGGTATCATATTATCATGATATATTGATATTCCAGTATTTCACCGTGTGCCCGTTCGTGAAAAATAAGAGGGCCTACAATAATAAATAAAGTATAAAATACGGTGAATGGGGGGGGGGGGCACCGGCCCCATAGGCCCAATCCTTAAATACGTCTCTGGTTATAATCATTACTATCAATAGGTACCTAGGTGTTTAATGTTTATTGTAGTAATGGAGTGTACCATTAAGCATTATTTATAAATATTGTGCAATATTTAATGACAGTTAATCATTAAAATGTTAAAAAAAAAAAAAAAAAAATGAAAATTACTTTGTACGTATCAGGATGAAAATAAAATACATAAAAAAATATTTTAAGTTAACAATATTGTTTTCCATATAATATTAATTTGATAATTTTCATTATTTACGTGTGTATACTAAAATCAAATACCTACTATATTTGGAACTTCCATGGAAAAATAAGAAATTAAATTTAAAAATACCAAAAATATTTTCCCGACATGAAAATACAAATAAAATGACATATCAAGAAATAATAATTACTTATTAATAATACACGAATTATGATTATGAATACAAAATCTATATGTAAAAAGAAAGTCAGGTTATTTACAGAATTTATAATTCAAGAACGGCTGGACCGATTTCGATGATCTCTGATTTTTTGGATTCATCTCCGTAAAATAATAAAAATAACTCTAATCTTGACAAGAATACAGAAAATTATCTAGAAAAGGAAAATTTTATCTTGGATAAGTAATTAGATAACTTAGCGTTATTTATCTAGATAAGATAAAAGATGACAAAAAATCTATCTAGATAATTTATCTAGATAAGTCCCAACACGTTATACTTTGATAATAGTATCATTTTTAAATTGTTTTAAATATAGTAAATATTCCCGTTTTGTATTGAATATTGAAAAATACAAATATGACTGAATATAACATGCTTATGAATGGTATACTAACTTGGAATTTATTTAATTACTTTAATTTACTTACTAATCGGAGTACTGTATTGATTATATTATTATAATGGTCCGGACAGTATCGATTAAGAATTAAAACACTGAAATGAATTAAGAATATAATATATTATTGACAGACTAAAAATGTTATTCGACTAATTAATTACTATGGTTGTGCTTTGAAAAATATCATAATCTAACGTCAGAACTGACCTAATAATAATATACTTTTAACTATAATATCAATTTCAATGTTAGTTAAGATCTATTGATTTCCCAACTAAACACTTTTTTGTTTTATTAAGAAAATATTACCATCTATATATGTTACGGGTAATGTTAACATTTGGCTAATGTGTAGTTTTTGAACAATTTAAAAAAAAAAAATTAAATATAGTAAGACACAATAAATAATTAGTTATTATAGATTATTTTTAGTATATTAACAGACAGTGTAAATAAACAAATATGCACCCTAATGAGCAGTCGTTTTATTTTAAATGCTTATATGATGCTATTAATATCTAAATTCTAAATAAATAGCGATTTCGAATGACGACTGACAATGTTAATAATTTATTATCTATGGACTAAATTAGTATATACCTATCATAATAACTAATATCCAATAGAATGGATAGAGTATTATAATTATATTTCTATCATTTTTTAAGTTTTAACATTATATCTTTGAAGCACTCCCTTTTCAACAAGCGCCCTGAGCGAGGACCAGGTCGCCCATCCCTAAAACAGGCCCTGCAAATATAACACATAATGATGAGATTTATTGCCACTTTTCTATTCATTGATTGTATTTAAATAGTTTTCATTTGTTAAATAAAATGAATTATCTACTCGTTTTTCAAAGAACAATTTTTCAAATAAACGGTAAAATTCTGTTTTTTGTTTCTATTTCAATTAAATAAAAAAAAATTAAAACACAATATCGTTCTCATGAGTATCACATGCGAAAACAGACTAACTTAAGATCGGCATCGTATATTGTATTCATATAGTATATAAAGTTATAAAAAAAAAAAAACATTGTCCAATTAAGATACTATACCTACATAAAATACTTGACCCATTTATTTTTCAATTTATCGTTAAGATAAATTATTGGCTAAGATAAGATTATTTTACTCTGACAGTTTGACGCTTTATTAATGTGATACTATAGTAGATAGAATTCTAACAAAAACTCTTGTTTAAATTTTTTACCGTCGTCCGAAAATAGTTGATATTTCATATTTATACTCGAACAATTACACATTAGCAAAGATGCATGGATAATATCGAAATTAACCGATTGATGTCGGACATTAGCTAAATGTTAACATTATACGTAACATGAACACATCAATACATTAAGTAAGCTTTTAACACAAAATTAATATTTACTAGGCTTGAATAACATGAACAAAGAAACACCACTTGAAAAACGAGTATTTTTCTATTTTTGTTATATTCGTGCAGTTTAAAAATTGCTGCTATTTTTCGATTAATAATTAATAAAAATTGATCTATAAAAGCCGAGATTTAATTGGTTTAGTATTTTATTTCTACTTAAAAAAAATACTACAGACATGTATATATATATGTATATAATTATTCATCAAAATCTGAATTATAATTACATCAATTTGGTTGTAATTGCGTAAATGTGTAACTACATGATAGCGATTATCTAATTTTAAATGTGAAAACTTATCGTTAATGACTAATAATAAAATAACTATTTGATTCGTGTACATTTTATGCTAAAACTGTCAACAACTATGACGTTCGTCTATAGCTATTGTTTGAACAACGATTATGTCAACTCATAGGTTTTGAACTCTACAACCTTTAACATCGTCAAAGAATCTTAAAAATTATTATATGTTAAATAATTATTACTATTGTAATTATTGTTAGTTCTAATTATTTTATGCATAAATAAAATCTGTTTGCGGCGTTACAAAGTTGGATGTAAAACAATGAACTTAAGTGAAATATAATTAATGAAAAAACACCATAAATTCTATCGTACGGCCAAGGTCGTAATTCGTAACGCATAGAATGGGTTTTTCTGGTGGATTTTTGGTAAAAATCAACAACTTACTTTTAAAGCGGAAAGTTTTTGCTATGGCGGTTTTCCATTAATGCATTTAATGATTCTCCGTGACGTGCTGTCAGTACACGGATTGCGATGAACAAAAAAAAAAAAAAATGAACGCGATCAATCGATTTAAGGGCTTCATTGGAATGTGAATTGATATTCAGACGTTATAAGACTTTCGGAACAGTTCGAAAGTCGTGCATTACTTACGCACGTTAACGTATTCGCTACGGTACAATAAATGGACGAGTTAGAATTTTTATCAGTTTACCACATATTCGTCCGACACAATGTAGGGTATTTAAAAAGTAACCGTGAGACGAGTGAAGCGCTTTAGTTACGAGTCGGTAATCATGCTAACGAAAAAAACGGGGTAAAAAATAGTGAAAACTGTTTGTTCATTCGGTGAGGGATGACGATCGGATCGACTGTTCCCGGCAGGACCGGAATGCGTTTCGAACTCTCTAGGATCCGCGGACACGAGCACGTGCATGCCGCGCGCGCGAACAGCGGTGTGGGCGCAGTCAAACACGAGCAAACGGAATTTCGGCCGAAAAAACCATCGCGACGGCGAGGGGACGTTGAACGTGTCGATTTTATTTGCAACATTATCACGTTTTCACGGCCGCGGCGGTTCGTCAACGAACCACCGTCCGTCTCCTTGTCCGTGCCGCTTACCTTGGTTTCGTTTCGGTTGTTGCACACCAACGGCGGTTTCCGGAGAACGGGTTGCCGGACGTACGACGCCCTGTGAACCGAATTTGCGATGGGTCCGGTCACGATGTATGGTAATGGTAGTGCGAACACCCTTTATGAGCACGTCACCGGCACCGCGGTTCTGGTACCTGTAATAATAACAACAATAATAATACTTATGTGCTACGGATTATTATTAGTCCGTTCGCAAATGTCTCGCTTGCAGACCAACGACTACAGAACGATCCGACGGAGTATGCCAGCTGTTACGCTTTCCCTCACCGACCTGCACGTTCCATCGCGCATTTAATTCATTTTTTATCGTCGTAATGGCTCGCTGATAGACTCGTGATATTATCATTATACATTATTATGCTCAGTATACAATTATGGCGTGGTAATAGCCCCGTGTCCCCTCCCACGTCGATGATTATAAATCGGTAAACGTTCAATAACGAAATGCGTGCGTCGGTGATGTACAAAATACTGTCGCCGTACGTTCGTCAACATCTGAACACTTAAATGTTTAAACATTCAAATATGCTTATGTATCGTATGACACGGCGTTCGTAGTAACCGTGACCGCGTTTGCGTTACGCGATAATATTCGACCGTTTCACACGGAAAGAAAAACACGTCTGAACGTAATCGGTGAATGAGCAAATTAGAATACCAAAAGGGGTGAGATTTTTTGGTTGATGAGACTCCACGGTCGAGGGTGATACGGGTGAGTGGTGTTGATGTCTCTAGCAGCTGCTTAGGTTTAAAGCTGGAGGCGGACGCGTTGGTTCGCGTGACTAGAGCGGGTCCGCAGGTTGTGGATAGCGGTATGGCTAACTAATGGTGTTGCTCTATTGTATTTTTAAACTTGAAACCGATGTACCAATAATTGGTTCGGCAATTAGCTATGAGTAATTGTTGCACTCGAAAAAACCATTCTGTGTGAAAGAGATTGGGTGGATCAATTTATATATTTGAATATAGTTGAATCTTAATGAGGTAATTTGAATTTTAAATGTTCAACTAACCTTAGTAAGAAATTTCGCAAAAATACCATTAATTTTTCAAATTCATATAAACAGTACAAATTTCATTGAAATAATTTAAAACTATGAAATATCTTAAGTCAAAAATAAATGATATATATATCGTGTACCTAATTTAATTGAATATAAAAATTCATCAAAATTTTATTTTGTAATGCTAATAAATCATTTTTGCAACTTTTGAGTAATTTTTTTCTAGTTACAAAGAAATTTATATGAAAAATTATGTATCTAATTTTCAAGCCTAAAATAAAAATATTTAAATTTATGCATTTTTTACTACAAAAATGTACCTAGCAGATTTTCATGACTAATAATTTTGTTAAAATTGTTTATTCAAATACTCCACTATTAAGAAAGCTCTTGAGAAATTCGTAAAATGACCTCTTAACCACCACAAAAAACAATCTAGAATCTATTTCCTATCTTTTACTTCTTATTTTGTGATAATCGGAGTTATTATCAGTGGCGTATTTGAGGGGAGTGATGGGGGCAATCGCCTCCCCCCCGAGAATTTTTAGACTAAGACAATTTTTATATAAGTAATGGGTATTTTATTAAGAAACAAAAATTATGATTTATTTTATAGTATTACTACATTTGAAAACGTTTCAAATTTTACACTAATTTAAATAACGCAAAACGCTAAATTTTTCATAACCTTTTAATTGTCAATAACGGTAAACGGAAAATTTTTTAAACGTTTAAATTTGTTTAAACGTTTAAACGCTTAATTGAATAACGTTTGAATTATTCATAGCGTTAAACACTCAATTGCTTATAACGTTTATATGTCTCATAAAGATAAATAATATATATTATTTTGATTGAAGACCCAGTCCATACTTAGTGAAAAATTAAATAAAACACAAATGAAACTTTCAAAACACAGATAGATGTTAAAAAAGAACTACACAGAAGACCATTCTAAGTGGCATTAGATTAAAAAAAAAAAAAACCACAAATATTAATTATTCACCTGATATAAATATTACCAAGAATTTTACTTGTAAATTTTGAGCCTGTATTAAAAAAAAAAAATTTTGAGTCCCCCCCCCCCCCCTGGAATTAAGTCTAAATACGCCCCTGGTTATTATTCCGGTCAAAATTGTGAAAAAAGATGCATCAATAAAAAAAAAAAACAAACCCTCACACATAAACAATAAAACTATCTTTTCACTCAGAATCTAAACTTTATAAATCGATATAATGTTTGCTATATTCATGTACGTCGCAAGTTTTAGTTTACTTTAATAACTTAATAATAACCAACCAAAAGTAAATACATTATTAGTAAAACTTTTCGTAGTTAGTATTAACTACCAGCCCCAATTTTTTAATGAACCCCGACACAAATTGTGTAATCCGAAACTGGAAGTGTGCACTACAGATTCGAGAAGTGTATACTCACTAAATATTAATAAATAAAACTATATAAATGTTTTTCAGGATTCCAGGTTTAAGCAAGATAGTTGACGAGGACTTAAATATACCTAAAAAATTTTAATTTAATATCCCAAATTAAAATAAATTATTTATAAATTGTTTTCAGATTTTTACCAGACAAAAGTATATTTTCAGTTTAAAAAATAATAACAGATTGAAAGGTACCTAATTATTATGTGCAATTTGACTAATCAAAAAGAATTATTACTAAAAATGATTATTGACATTGTACTAAAAATTATAATCATATGGAAGATGTAGAGAAGGGGGTTCTGTATCATATATATATATCATATGTGTGTATATATCATTGTACATTAAAAAATGTGAAGTACGAATTTTTATGGAAAATAAGGGCTGCTAACTAACCAATTTTTTTCTACGTCCGTAGCAATGCGAATATTCTATGCACATAGTTGTTTTCTCGTTATTCCAGCCGAAGTAGTGTAACATGAGAGTATCATGTTTACAATATTGATAATATTGTCGAATGATAAAAGCATAGGTAGGCCTATATAATAATAATAAGTATAAATCTATAACCCTTGGCCCAGCAAATTAATGACTATTTATGATACTTCAGACGTGGGAAATATTGTGTAATTATAAAAAAAAAAAAATTCGATAAATACGATAAAAAAAACTATACGTTAATTTTTTCCTTTAGCTTTGATTGTTTCTAGACAAATATTACATATAATTTTTTTTTTTAATATCAATGATCGACATTCTCGTTTATTCGATGTATGTCTTTTGAAAATAAAATTTTGCACAATTTCAACATTCGATTTGGTGAGGCGTGTTGTCTGCCTATAACCGTACAAGGTGGATACCTTCTGCTACATAGGAGTGAAATCACTAGTGAAACGAAACCGCGGTAATTTTCGGTCAATTTTTTTGGTAGAACTTTCGGCAAGGTCGCGGCAACAAAACATGTAACATTGCATATTTTCTCATTTAAGGTGTATACACCTGTGACATCCCTACGGCATCAATATGGGACCGAGTCAGATTAATAACAATTATATTTTTTACTACTCTTATTGATGTATTATTTTTTGGATGTGAATCATTTAATGCAGCGAGTCAAACCAGCTGTTGCCTATACGTAATAGTTTCAATTTTTTATATCTGTCAGGTGTCTCGCGACGGCTAAGTTTTCTTCTTTTCTGAGAACGCCAGAATCGTAACTTTTATTTTTAGTTTCATGTTCTAAAACGGAATTTTCTTTTTCTTCAAATTTCACAATACCCTTGGGCCTTGGTGATATGATTACTAATGCGCCTCCACATAGTTCGACACTGCAGTAATTATGCTACAACATGTGTTCGGGTCTTGACCCACGAACGCTCACCTACAACAATTGACTATATAATTATTAGAGCCATTCGCGAGCCGTTTCAGTGTACCAGTCGGCCGACGGTCGCTCTTTTACCGATTTATAAAACGCCAGCACCAATAAGCAGACTAGTCGTACTACAATGACGTCGTAGTCGTTAGGAAATTTGGTGACGTCCGGATTTTCCACACCTTTAAACGAGCCCCATCGAGTCCAGCCTACTAGATCGAGTCAAACTAGACCATCCGACGCACGATTTTATTAAACGTAAACGTTGCACCATTGGCGTACTTACGGGAGGGATTCGGGTTCTACCCCCCTTCCAGGGCCAAAAAAAAAAACGTTATAAAGTGATATTTTAAATATTTATTGTTATGCTCTAAGCTAAGAGTAAAAACACAATTTATGGTCGTGTTATCGTTATGTTCACTAAAAAATTCATGTTTATATAAATATAATTTATTGATATTTATTTATATTGTTAGTATATTTATACAAACTTCTAAGAAAGATTGTATAAATATAGCTAAGAAAGAATGATTCTTTCTAAGAAAGATATATGAAATAATATTTATAAGAAATTAATGTTGTACGTCTTAAAATTATCTTACGAAATAAGTGATACATTTAGGGGGGGGATTATAACCCGTTCATCGTCCCTTTACGGCTACGCCACTGCCTTTAAGTATTCGGCTATTAAAAAAAGAGCCGTAGTTATAAATAGGTAGTTTTTGGAATGCATTATTTTTTTTTGAACCCCCCCCCCCCATCCCATAGTAAATTTGAATGTACGACACTGGTTGCAATACTTAACGACAGTAAAAGAAAATTAAAGCGAACACAGTAACATTTACGAGAGTAAAATTACTCGTGCTAAAAATTAGAAGAACGTAAAAAAAAAAAACGATAAACGTTTATGATCGAGCAGCTGACGAAACACTCGGACCTCAGTGATCGTCGTCGCTGCTGCGGTACCCGTAACAATTATCGTGTTCCGATCGATAAACAAATAACAACACGTTCAATAACTGTATAGACGTATTTTACTTGGTGCAAACAATCGGTCGGTGAAATACGTTCGGCGAATAACATTGTACGCGGCCGACGCACTCGAAATCGGGCGAGAAACTAATTTTTACATCATGCAAATTACGTGTCACGTGCGCGTAGATAATAACCGCGGCGTTTCGGTGCGTTTCGAAGTCGCACGGACGCGGCGGTCACGTCAGGTTGTTGTATTTGGGCGCGGGCACGGCCGCCGCCGCTTTGAACTCGACCACCACGTTGCGGGCGGCCTCGGTGTTGGCGGAACGTTTCTTGGTGCGCGCGTAGTAGAACGCGAGGGCACCGAACAGTGCGAACGCGGCGACGACCTTGGCGGCGGTGGAATCAACGAACCAGAAGTAACCGGACGGGTCGGGTCCCGGGCACAATTCCAAGATCGATCCGGCGGCCGTGACGCGGAACCCGATGTGGTCGGGATCGGACGGGTTCCACTGGCTGATGGCCGGGCTCCGGCACACCATGCGCGTGTCGTCCTCGACCGTGCATTCCGAGTAAACCTTGGACTCGCCGAAAACGTAGTAGATCTCGGCCGTCTCGACGCACGACAGGTGACGGCCGTGCACCACGAACGAGTCGCAGCCGTCCAATATGGCCCGGTAGATGCGGTACCGCTGGCCCACGTTCACAGTCGGCACGTCGTCCGTGTACGCGAATGTCGAGCTGACCACGTGCTCGCTGAGCGACTTGTCGAACAGCACCATCACCGGGCCCGTCGTGGCCACGGGCGACGGCGCGGTCACGCAGCGTATGCTCTGGTCGTCGCAGTCGACGGTGCGGCACTCGACCGCGGCCGGGCCCACCGTGACCCGGACCACCGTGCTGGTGTTCAGCGACCGGCCGCCGATGCGCAGCAACGTTCCGCCCTTCAGCGGCCCGCACACCGGGCTCACGGTGCGCACCTCCGGGTATACGAACCGGAACCTGAACGTGGACACCACGACGTCGTGGGCTCCGTAGCGAACGATCACCGGGCCGTCGGACGGCCCTGGCTCGGTGGCCAGCGACACGGTGCACGCCAACGTGCGCTCGTCCACGGTGCTGGGCGCGGTGCACGCGCGACCCGCCACCGTCACCGTCATGGCCCTCCGGTCGGCCAGGATCGCGTGGCCGCCGACGGTGATGCGCACCGGCGTGCCGCTGTTCCACCGGGCCGACGGCGGGTCCACGGCCTCGATCGCCAACTCCGGGCACTGGAGCCGCGTGTCCACGTCCCTGCGCACCGCCGTCACCGAGTAGTCGTGTGTCGAGCGCCGCTCGTGGAACACGAACGGGCCCGAGCACGTGTTGTTGGCCGCGCACCGTGCGTAGAAGTCCGTGTAGCCCGGCCCGTCCCACGAGCACGACACGCAGTACGAGCGGTCGGCGCCCGGGCAGTACTCGTCCAGCAGCACGTAGCTGTCGGCCACGCGGTCCACGCGCAGCACCGCGCTGTCGAAAGTCACGTAGTTGAACAGCACCCGCGGTTCCGGCGGCGGCCGGTCGCCCGCCGACCACTTGTGCACGGTGCCGCACACGATAGTGTCGTCGACCACCGTGCCGTGCAACGGCACCCCGTCCAGCCAGCATATCGGCCGACTCCGGTTGAGGAACACCAGGAAACCGTGCAGGTCGTTGTTCACCCTCACCTGGAACGAGTACGCCTCGGACACCGACGCCGAGTCCCGCCACGACACGTTCGCGATCACCACGTACTGCGGACAATTCTCCTCGATGTGCACGATCAGGTTGCCGGTTATGTCGGTCGATTGCATGCACGTCTGCGTTTCCAGCGACCAGCTGCACGTGGACTCCTGCGTGCATTTACTGCACCCCGTGAACCCCGCGCAGTCCTCCGACACGGTGTCCGTCGTACCCTGCGAACGGCATCTGGTCGCCGATCCGAACACCTGAAACACGTCGAAAGGGTCCTGTTTATCCGCACGCGTCTGCAACCCGAGCACTTCCCGGTGTCGCTATTTTCCTCCGGTCCCACCGTTGCACTTGGATTTCGAACAGTTTCTGCGATTAAACTATTTCGAAACCGCTAAGAACATGTATACCCGTGAGATATTATTACTCGTCGTTAAACACGACGTACACAAAACACTGCACCGTTCATTTCTGATTTTTTTTTTTTTTTTTTTATCACGTTACTGCTTATTATCAATTTATCAATTACTAAGGCCCGGATTTATATGTAAATACAAAATGTTTACCGCGACTTGATAAATTCATTTAGGTAAGTAATAAATTCATTTCAAGCGATTTCAAACGAAGTTAACTGTATTTTATTTTATATATTTTTAAATATTTTACCATGTTTATCGATATTTCTATTTTTTTTTTTTTAAATATTTTGACCGTTTGTCCATTTACGATTTATCAATAATTCGATACAGGTAATTTTCAATGTTTCCAAAAGTACGTAAACAAAATAATACCTATTATTAAATTTAATCTACGGTCGATATATGTTCGATACTTCGATGTTTCAATACGTTCGATAAGAAATATAACTTTAGTTCAAAGTTTAAGACTCGTAGAAGAAGCTGTAAAATGCATAGAACAAGTTCAAAGACCATTGGGAATTGCAATAAAAGAAAAAATGTACCGTGTATTAAACAAAAATCCTGGTTTAAACTGCCTAAAATTAATTAGACAAATAATTTGCGGAATGAATGAGGTTATATTGCAGAATGAGCTCACTCCTTAGGATATTGGAAATATGAAATTTGCTTTGCCAATTACCTCAGTTGAAGTCGAGCGCTTCTTATTCGGTACAAATTTGCGTTACGACCAAACCGTAGATCATTTAACTTTGACAATTTGAGCATGTGTATGGTATCTCATTGCTATCAAAATCAAGATGAATAACGTTCAATTTCATAATATTTTCAACTTGAGTGTCATGATTTTTTTTATTTTTATTTTTTTGTCATTTATGAAGCGATTTTAATTTTTTATATTCTATTTTTTATTTTGCTATCACATATAAAGCGATTTGTTATTAATATATATCTACATATTTTGGGTTTTTTTAATACATATAAATCCGAGCCATATTAATTATACTTATGTACCGTTCTTATTCGTAGAAATGCAATGGCGTAAAACATGAAATTAAATCAGTATAAATTATAATTGAGTGGGAATAAATATTTTTGTCAAAATTTTCTAAATTAATTGTTTTCGAAAGAACTGATTTTTTCTTTCGGTTTCATTTGTGTAAAATAAAAAAAAAATAAAAATACGAATTCGTTTTTAAACAACAAACTCTACTTATTCTAAATAAGAGAAAATATTGATGGGAATGTGTTATTGTGAGACAAACATTAGAAACATTAGGATCGTACGTACCAGTGCTATGGCGAATATTATTCCATTGGTATAGAGAAGACGGCGGCGATTCCGTATATTTTGTGTTTGAAATTTGCAGCCGCCCATGACGTTTGAATTTTATGATCCTCTATAATTATAAAATCACATAAAGTATACACGTAAATTTCGTTCAGTGCATATATCTGCACAAAATTTACTGTACATGGGAAATAAAAAATTAACTACTAGTTTCATCGAAAATGTATATGTAAATTGTTAATAATCTATAAACAGTACTAAATTCAAAACAGGCTTAAATTGATACAACCACTTGATTATTTTTTTTATGAACAGTTAAATTCGATTTCCATATTTTACTGTTAAATCGTTTGAAATTAAACTACGTGTTTATATTTAAGTGTATAACATGAACTACACTAAAATTCACTTGAGATGTTTTTTTATTATGTAGGTACTTATTTAAAAAAATCAATTTTCCGCTTTTCCCTTCTCGGGTTCAAGTTCTTATTGTTCAACTACAACAAAAATACGTACTAAGAAATTGTCGTGCCGCGTGCCGTACTATGCCCAAGAATATATATTTTTTATTCGTGACAAAATGATTGTCAAACTGATAATTTTCACTGAGTTTGCAGTTGATACACATTAATGAATATTGTTGTAAAATGTTCGACATAGTTTTGATACGTGTCATTTGTGTAATTGTACTCTTTTAATTGAAAATCGAAATCAATATCATTATTCAATGCAAAAGGTTTCGATGTTACATATCTGCATAAGTGTTGGCGCCATTAGCGAAAATCGTTGGCTAGGCGAATTACGTTAACACCGAATATCACGTCAGATTACGATTGAAAATAACTGTTCACAACCGTATGTTATGTCTACAATGTTTTAATATTTTTTAAGTTATAATCGTATATTTCCACGAAAATTAATCTAAAAAATAAAAACCAAGTTGCATTTACACGGAAATCAATAGAACTTCCACTGCCACCCTGTTAGACGCAAATGTGTAATTTATAATATAGTAAAACCTTGATTATCCGAACTAATTGGGACCATGCAGAGTTCGGATAGGCGAAAGTTCGAATAATAGAAATTAAAAAAAATATTACTACAACGAACAAAAAATTAATATTACATATGATTGACTTATTATACTTATTATTACACATTACATATTATGTTATTAATTATTACAAATATTAGAATATTATTAAATGTTATAGATTTATTATAATGTATTTTATTTTATTTTTTTTGGCAAACTGATCATTTTTTGCTGCGAATTGCTGCTACGCGATTTTGCGCAACTAAATTTAGCAAATGTTTTAATAGAAATAATTGTGCTGGACAATATTTATCTTATATCTCTAACTACTCAAGACCAGTCTCAAACACAGCAAATGCCTCCATAGGTGATTGTCCGTGTGTATAAGAATAAATAATAAATAAATAATTTAATTAATTAATTTTCTTTTTTTTTTTAATTTCGTTGCAACCGCTGTCGTCAATTTTTTTGTTCTCACATTGATTTTTAAAAGAAGAAACCGTTAACGATTTCAAACGATATATTACGCATTGATGTTCGGATACATGAATTGAAACGAAATAACTTTCGGATAATAGAGGTTCTACTGTATATTATTTTAACATCAATTGTGCTGCAAAGCAAACAAAAAATGACAATAAGTATATTAAATTAATTTATTTACCTTATCTGATAAGACGTCACGTTTGATTATTCGACAATTTACGATCCATGCAAGGTATGACTTGTCTTGATCAACGACCAACCGTAAAAACTTGATGACAAAACGTGTTTTCTGATAGTGTATAATGTAAATTATCATTAGTAAATTGAGAGTGGATAAATAAACGCCAAGAAATTTAAAAATTCATTTATCGAGATTATAGTCAAATAACATGTAAATATTAAAAATTACTGTTATTCATACATATGGGCTTATGATATTACACTAAATCTGTGAGTAATATTTTTTCAAATAACTGCGGGTCATAATCAAATTTTTGACTTATCTTCTGAGCGTATAATTATATAATATACATAATTATATTTTTAGACATCAATAATGACAATATAATAACACTACGTTCTGCAATATCGAATGTTATGAACATTTGACTAATAGATAAATAATATTTCATTGATAGCAAATTATATTTTATATTTTTTATACTTTTAAACTTCAAAACATACATTAACACTGATATTGCATCGTTCACTTCAGTTTATCAGCTTATTTCAGCAACTGTTATTTTGTTGCTGTTGTACACGCCGATCAAGTCGTACGTACAGACACAGATACATAACTTGAATTAAGTTAATACTTAATAAAATGCAAATGTTTCCTATGGTGATCGAGTCACACGACCACCACAAAGACCTCCTCTATTTATTAGTCCTCCGTCTTATATACATTTAGCTTAACCTAATTATATATATATATATATATTATTGCTTAAACGCTAATTTTAAAATAGTACAATAAAAATGTTGTTTTGAATTACTTGAATTATCAATATGAATTTCCAATATTACATTGTCTAATTTTACATATTTTTTTTTTAAGTATAATAATCAAAACAATTATGTTTTGCATAAATGTATTATTGTTATATTCCCTACGTCGTGATATTTTATCACTTACTTATAATTATAACATTAATAATGATCTTCAAGATTCGCAGCTGTGCGCTTTCCTGATCAAGCCCTCGTGCGCCACTTAATTTCTTTTATAATAATTCAAAATTTTTACTTTCGTACAAAAATGTATAGATTATAAATATTAAATTAATTAAATACTATAAAAAAAAAACGTTGAAAAAAAAACAATATTGATTAACAGATGAAAATACCATGTGTTAATCACACTTTAAATAACGTTAGAAAAGTAAAATATCAAAAAACCATGATGAATTACAATGTTACTCAATACGAACTGAAATAAAAATATTACAATATATGTTTGGAAATATTTCCATTGAATAATCTTTAATTTAATATACTGTTCTTGTTATATTATTACATGCATGAACTTAATTATTATTGATTATAAATAATACATTGATAATTATCACAATTATTACAAATGAAATACTTAAATATAATCTTCACGAGGCATAAAAAGAAATTTAATTATTTAAGATTTACATGTTCTATATAGCATCTAGTAATCAAACCACATTTATGTAATGTTGAGGGATTATTTTCACTTGCAATAATTAACGAGAGATAAATATTATATCAAGTCATAACCATCTTCTCAAATAATAATCTCCCATAATAGAATTATTTTTTATCATCAGTCATACTACTCGAACCTTAAATAATTGTATTAGACAATTTAAATAAACTAAATAAACTACGATTAATAATTTGTGAATTCGAATGTTCACTAATGCTATATGCTATATATGATATATTTGTTACAAATGCGATTTATTTTATAGTTATACAACCTATTGCAATCGAGTCAATGATTTATTTTTATTATAAATTACAGAGATACATTTATTGATTAAAATTATTGACTCTTACATTATTCCAGAAAAAAATGAATTACAAAACAAATAAACTTAATGAATACTAATGAAAAAAAAATTCACTATAATTACACTTTATTGAAAGTGATTTGATACAATTTTTCAAAACTATATTATAAATGCTCTGAAAATAACGTATGGAAGATACTGCGTTAACTTGAAGACTATTCGTCATCCCTTATGAAGTGTCCTCGGTAGGTTATTTGGTAATTAATTTCCTATTCTGATCAACTGTACGAATTACGTGCAGTAATTTCTATAAACATAAAATAAATAATGTCTGAATATTTAATAAATTTCAAAATTGAAATATTCAGTGTTTCTTTACACAAAATATGAAATTCTGCAGGTTAGAAAAGTTAGTTACATAATCGATATTATTTTTTAGTGTTACCAAAATACGTAGAAAAGAGTACATACTAAATCCTATTAATTTTCTGTCTTTTATTTATAATAGAGTTGTTCTTTTTCAGATTTGTGCTGTCCTAAACAACCAAATTTTCACAGTCCGTGTTTGGTGAGGTTTTTACCAGTAGGTTTAAGTAATTCTTATAACTATTCTACATGTTCTGTACCATTTTGTACACTTTGTACCATTTTTTCTAAATATAATTAAGTTTTTTAGTGTAATTTTATTATATTTATCTACAAAAATATTACTTTACTGAAAATTGTTTTTTATCGTGGATAAACGTTGTCCACGTTAATAATTGCATTACAGACACGCCGTGGCGTGATCGCTATCTAATCGTAAAAGTCACATGCTTTGAAACAGTGATTTGTTTTTGGAAATACTGATACCCACCACGGCTGGATTTTAAACTGTGTTCCGTGTCACCTATTAATTAATTGCACGTACAAAATCAGCGAGCTACGCGCCACCACTTGGCATAGAGTACGAGCACTGTTAAATGTTTACTGGCGCACATACGACCGTTCGGGAGATTTTAATTTACCACGAATTATGTCTAACTAGATATCCGGATAACTATTTAAGAATAAGTTTACGTATGTCTACGTCTAATAAATGATGATCTCGTTGTATAGATTTTTCTGATGCACAGCGAATATTGGTCAAGAATGTTCGTTTTGAGTAGTAAAAAGAAAATTTTATAGCTAGAATACAATTTTAGAAAACTCTATGTTGACAAATCGAGCGAGTAATGATATACTTTTTCATCGTCCGAAGACGAATTGAAAAGTTTTCTTCATTATGAATTACGGCGAATCGTGTATATTTACCAAGTGAACTATGATCCAGCAAATATTTTCTTTTATTTTCTAAGAATAAACACTTATGATTAAGGGTGTAGAAGTAATGGGACTACCCGTACACATCCTGTCTTCGGTTCACATAAAAAAAAAAAATAATAATAATAAATAAAAATACTTATGATTAAAATATCTCTGCATACTGCATTTTACATTGGACAACGGCTAATGATAGGCAAACGCATTAGGTTTATATCTTCAAAAACAAAATGAGCGTCCGACCATTAAGGATCGGTATTGGAAAAATGCACCGCAATTAAAACGTTTTTGTTGTAAGTAAATGTGCATGGGACATTATACGTGCATTTAAATGCCCATGGCCATTGGTCGTTAGAAAAAGGGAATGTCACTGCTAATCGCTGGAAACGATTTTGCACAGTCTTACTCTCGTCGACACAGGTATCGCACGCGTGGCACACCTTCAAGGCTCATAAAACCTTCGTATCCGTCGGTCCTTCTACTCTGCCTGGGCACGGTCGACCGGGATCGACCGCGAACGTACCGTATTCTTCGCGTAGTTCTCACGTACGGTTTCACGCGAAAACCGACCCTAGAAGATGAGTAACACCGCTGCAATCGCCGACGGACTGGTCCCGTCTGCTCCGAACCCGAAAGCCAAGCGCGCCGACGAGAGAGAGTCAACGGGCGTGCGTGACGGTGGTGGCTTCGAAGCGATGAGTGTTTCAGAGACGACTTTGGATAGCTCACGCGAATGGGAAAAAAGCGTCGTTTCACGTGGTTCGTCGGGAACAAATGCGGAGGTGATAGAAGTCGGAGCGTGCTCAAGATCCGAATTGGAACAGTACGTGGCCGCCTTAACGTTGGATGTCGAGAATCTCAAAGACGAAGTGAGAAACTTGCAAACACAGTTGAACAGCTCGTCGCAGGCCTATTTGGACATGGCCGCCGAGATAGAGGAACGCATTCGGAGGTACAGAAATCTAATCGTCTTCAACTATTTTAAATCTAACGATGAGACGCCGGTGTCGTTGTACAACGCGATGGCCAGTATGTTGGGAATTTTTGATATACCCACAACCAAACTCGTGGTGGCCAAGCGTTTGGGTCGTAATATGGTGTGTTGTCCTGTCCTTTTGGTATTCAAATCTGCTAAATACGTCAGATTCATCATTAAGAATAAAATTAAGCTAACTTCGTACTTACGTTGGATGAGCGTAAGGGTCTGCGTAGACTTGACGCCAATTCAACGCTATAATATGAAATGTAATCACCAGTACAGGTGTTTGTCGCCGAATTTGGATCAGCAGAGACAATATGACAACAGTGATGAGTGAGGAAGAAGAAAAAAAAAACACCCAAGAGTGAATTTCATATAGTACCATTAATTTCTAAAATGATTTAAAAATATTAATCGCTAAGTGCCTCGGTTAGTGAAAATATTAATAATCGTTTATAGTTATACAACGATTATACTTGATAAATAATGTATTTGCCTAATGTACTTAATGTGTTTTTTTCTCATTCATTTTTTCAATCAACTTTTTTATTACTCACAATATTACTCACTTTTATTTTATGTCCATTATATTATCAATGTTTTATTAATTACAATTATATATCATACACAATAATACGTCATACGACTCAATTGGTTCTCGAAATAATAAAATTATTCATTTATCTATTATACCTTGTTTTATTTATATCTAATTATATTTAAACTGCAATAAAAATCTGCCACCTGATTCTTTTTGACACTATAGTAACATTTATGTTACAATATAGGTACAATAGAGCGTCTAATATTATTGTACTAATATTATGGGGTTTTAACTAAAACTGTGACTGGGATTGTATTTTGTTTCTAAGTGTTAATAATAAGTAATAAAATTAAATTTAATCAAATTAAACCATGAGATATTAATCAAGTTATATTTAATTTTCTACGCGAAAAATAACTTATCTGTAGTACTATGATGGTATATCCTATTATGACATTACTTCATCAGGAGAATATGACATCATGAACGACATTTGACGAAGATTGTGACGATTTCGAAGTTAATTCTATAAAGATAGCGATGTCAATGTGTTATTGTTTTGTAGGCATATTATAGTAAGCGATATTTCATTGAAATTAATTCAACAATGAATCCGAAAACTAATCACCTTTGTTCTTCGTTGAG